ACCGGTACTTATACCGGCTCCCCGTACGGTACGGGGACCAGTCTGGTACCAGTTCTCTGCTGCTGTACTCGTACTCAGTGTGACTTGCTGTTTTCGGCATTCGGGAATCCAAGACTTCGACTTTGTGCCTTGCCACTGTGTCTGCGTCCGATCCTCAGTCCGAGTCCGTCGTGTCGAGTGAGTGAGTGTGTGTGTGTGCTCTCACTCTCCCCCTCTCTCTCCTCTCCCTCGGCTCACCCTCAGCCTCACGCTCGTTACACCCATGAGCTGTTGAAATACAGACCCAAGTTCAAATCCAGATACTGTAAGATGAACAGAATAAAACCGCTCTGAATTACCCAGGGCCGGTCACCAATGATCTCAAGGCTGTGGCCCTTTTTTTTTTTTTTTTTTTTTTTTGGAGCACACATGTGGCCAACCAGTTGCCATTGTGTCTATCACTGGCTTGGAATGCAGGCTTGCTTGTCCATGGTGGCCTATAGCTGAATGGATGAGCAAACCTGCGTGGAGTAAAAATCAACAGTGAGTTCCTTTACAGCCCTAACTACGTAAAGTTCGTAAACCCAGTAATTCATTGAAAACGATCGAAGGGGCAAGAGGGGTGCCACCTCACTCCAGGTATGAACACACTAATATAGCCATAGGTTATGGAGGACTAGTAGGGTCTAGGGTTTCAGCAGGATGAGGATAGGTAGACGGGTGGAAAAAGAGTACGGAGGGATGGTGGCAGCCCCAGAAATAGCCTTCGTAGGAATTGGTGGACAGCGCAGCGGGACGAGGGTGGGAGTAGATCAGACAGCCTCAAAGCTGAGAGGTCTAGCTGCCGAATCCAAACTAAGCGAAACTGGGTAATTCTCCCAGCAAGATGTTGTATCTTTTTGTATAAGGGACGCTGGACCCGGTTTCCGGCTGGTGAAGCTCCCCACCAATGGAACGGAGCCATCAACCGGAAGGCCTCGACTCTGTCGGCTCTCTTACCGCCGCAGGACCGCAGATCTTCAACGGAACTTTTCTTTAAAAAAAAAAAAAAAAACAGTGAGTTCCTTTGGTACTCGTCCCACCACAAGGATTATGTATTTGTGTGTGTGCAGTTGCTCTGCTCCTCTGGTCTTCTCCTCTATCCTTTCTCCTCTCTGACTCCGTCCACTCCTTACTCCCCCCTGCATATGAATACAGTCAGTGTACGTCAATGCACACGAGTCCAAGTGGCCGTTTTTGTGGATGGATGTGCGCATTGTGCGGACAATTCCAGCCCAACCAAAGAGATGTGAGGAAACTTAAATGGCGTAATAGAGAATAATTGCGCACCTCAGTAATCTTGTGCTCACTCCGGAAGCAGCAGTATGTGACAGTGAAATCCATTACTTTTCTCAACCATAGATTTTTCCTGTCATGTAATGAAGTTCGATTGGGGTGTAATGGTGTCCTTGACAACACACAATGGTCTTATTATGCACAAAGGGGGTGCACAAACATGTGCACATCCATGCTCGCATGTTTGTGAAGACGACATCGGCACCGGTGCGTCTTGTACGGCTGCTACTTTCAGCGGTTTCGGATGCAACCCTTTGTCCGTAACCACGTGGCGGAGGAAGGAGATCTTTGTGAGGAAAAACTGACACTTCTCGAGAGCCACCTTGAATCCAGCATCCTTCAGTGCGTGCAACGCTAACACAGTCACCACAGCTTATGGGAACTCAGTTTTTCAAACCTGTAGCCACTCGTTTTCCGCCTCCGTCACTGACAACCTGTAGCTGCATCTTCTCTGCCACCATCACTTGCTGCTTGAACGCAGACGTATTTGGAAACACACTGACATCTGTAGACTCAGCATGCTGTTTGGCATTCTGTGATCGCCCCGGTGATGTGCGTCTGGTGTGTGATCCCCAATCTTTTTTGATGACATGGTCTGAGCAAGCCTATGTCTGGGCACTGTACCTGAAACCTGAACCTCAAACCCCAAACCTTAAACCCTGAACCTCAGACCCTAAACCCTATCTAAACCGTAAACCCTAAACCGCAAACCCTAAACCCCATATAAACCTTAAACCCTGAACCTCAAACCCTTAACCCTATGTAAACCTTAAAACTTCAATCTCAAACCCTAAACCCTATCAACTTCTAAGTTCCATCCTAAACTATAAACCCTAAACTGTATCTAAACCTTAAACCCTAAAGGGCTTGACGTTCCCTGGACCATAAACCCTTGCCACCCTCTCACGGCATGTCCTATGTTTTGGGAAGGACTTGATTGGAGTGGATGCACAGCTGTGGCTGGCCCGCCTCTGTGCTCCTGGCACGTGGAAGCGATTTTGCAAGTCACGTCTGATCACGATGTTCTGTTCGTGCACAGCTGTGCTTGTTACTGTGCAGAATAGATAAGTGTGACTGTTGTTGTCATTTCAATTGTGATTGTAGGTACGAAGATTCAATCCCTGGCTGATAGGATCATCCAGTTTCAGTCTTTTTTTGGGGGGGTAGGGTAGCTGCTGGGTTTTGAACCCGGGCCCTGTAGGACTGTGGGCTGGTAGACTATAGGTGAATGGGCTTTGAGCCTTTGAGGGGATTCAACTCCCAGCTGGTATCGCCACAGAGGCCTTCCAAGTGCAGCGCCAAGGAAGTGGAGATGATGAAGGCCCACCATATCGAGAGGTAAGGCTCTCTTGTCGGTTCCCTCCTTCTTCGCCCCCTTTTATGTCTAGTCTCTTCCTCCACCTGCCTTCGTGGCCTGTCTTGAGGTTCTTCTCCCTCTACCTCCTTAGCCCAGGTCTATTCCCTTCTACTACTGCTACTACTACATAGGCATGAAGGTCTTCTTCCTTAGCCTCGGCTCCTCCTTCGACTCAGAGCTCCGCCTAACTCTTCCTTACAGCAGGCAGATGCATGACTGCCAGGTGAATGCCCAGACTACTCAATTGTACCGAGAGATATACACATGACTCTTGACTACCAGTACCTCTACCTGGGCACTCTCAGCCTCTACTGGTACACAAGGTCCTAACCGGAAGTTCCTGCCTTTCAGGGGGAACATCATCGCAGCCTGCAATTCACTTCCAGGGCCTGAACCTAACCTGATATCTATCTACATTTGGGCCCTGGACCATCATGACCTTTGGAAGCTACCGGACCTTTCTAGGCCTACCCAAGTTCCTGGCAAATGCTAACGGATACCTGCAGAATTCTGCTTTTGTCCTCTTGTCCGTCCTAGACTTTCTTCTAGGTCCATGCAGCATCCGATTTCAGTCCTGCCCCTGTCGATATACCTATTTACTGTTCTACCCTCTGGGGGGACAGAAAACACAGCACGGGAACAGAGTTAGCTCACGGGGGTGCGGCAAGCATCACATAGAGTCTTGGACACAGGCAAAACAGCAAAGCACACTCAAATTTGGAAATCTTCAGCAAATTACACCAACAGCAGCAATCTCAGACTGCAACTGTGCGTGTAGTTGCAAGTAAACATAGATACTTTGTGGAACTTTGTGTCAAAAATCAATGCCTGGGCTTCTCTCACATGTCATTATTCAATTGTCGGCATGCGCGTTTGTGCGTCAGGCGTGGGATGTGCAGGTTACCAGAGTCCTTGAGGCATCTCTGGAGGAGAATCTGAACATGATCCGCGATACAGTTGCATACTTCAAGGTGATTCATTCTTAAAGAAGATTGAAATTTGAAAACCATTTCAATGGTCAATTTGACAGCAACTAAAATTAACTCAAGTCAATTGACGTTTGCATATGTGAAAAACTGAGCCTTTTGGCTAAAAATAGATAAATTCCAGTATCTGCTCTGATCAGTTTACCATCTGATTAAAAAAAAAAAAAGAGAGAAGTGTGGAGCATCTTGTTGGTTGCTGTAGGTTTGTTTTGAAATTTCAATGCATTGTTGTATACTCTTCTTTAAAGAATGATCGATGAGAAATTACTAAGTCAGCACAAGCAAAGCAATCTTTTCCTTCCAGGTATGCCTCTGCAGTTTAGCTTGTTTGCGCAAATGCACCTCTTCCGCCACATGTTCTACTCAGCACAGACTGCGCAGAAAAGCATCCATGCGCTTGTTCAGCCACATCTGACATGGCGTTCACACAAATAAGCCAAGCGATGCACGAAGGGATCCGATTCAGAACGCCACCATATGGTGTGAATACTGTGAAGTTGTCAACTGTGTGAGCTTGCTATTCAAATTCGAGAGCAGGTTAACGGAGGCCCAAAATTTCAGACTTGTCAGGCCATTTATAACAAAACTCAAGGGTCATTTTAACTAAACTTGCCACCAATTCATAACCATACAATCTGAGGAAGGAGTCCACTATGCAAGGAATATGAGCGAGAGCGATAGACAGAAATCCAAATTGCAAAATCACGATGTAGTCCAGATAGTCATGTACCGAGCAGAGAGCACAATGCACCAAGATACCATCCAGATAAGAGCAATACAATGAACTCAAATGTCAATGCCGACGCTCTCTGGCCACACCAACATAGTATCCAATGTCGCTCCTACTGTTTGGCGCCCAACGCCCAGCCTACACTACTCAGCCTATCTAGCCTATCTACGTTCATGCAATAAGATCACATCGAAGTTGAAGACCAATGTACATGACGTCATCACCAATGCAGACTGCCAGCATACACCAGGTAAGTGTCTCTCTCTCCTTCCCTCATCACATCCTGTCTCCCCACTGCATGCACCTCCTACCCGAAGGCCACCATCGCCATCACCGGCATCCGCACCTGCAGCCCGGCTATGGCCACTGTGCACCCGCTGCCACCGCAGCGCTCCCTCTCACCTCTTGCACCCGGCGTGCGTCCAGCCTGCCTGCTTAGCGCAGCTACTGCATGGCAAGGCAGCAGCGTGGCCGCATTGCCTGCCCAGGCCAGAATGCCTGGAGCTGGGGCAGGCACTTTCCTTTATGGAAAGTGCGCCCTGCTTCGGCCTCTGCTTGGCCTGCTGGGCAGGGGCCCAGTAGCTTCGTATTGGGCCAAAGTGTCTGCGCCCTGGGCCCTTCAGACAGTTACAAGGGCCCGCAGGCTCCGCAGCATCCAGTGCCTCCATCGTCCAGGCTCCAAGTGTTTCCTGCGATCTCATTGGCTCGCGGCATGTGTGTGATCACGGTGCTGCTTTCTCATTGGTTCACGGCCGCTATGTGACTTGTCGGCCTCTGGATGACTGTGCCCAGGGCCTCAACCGGATGAGCCCTGGGTTCAACTGTACGACGCAGCTGCTGCTTCTGGAAGGATCCAAGAAGGCTCGCGTTGCTCTGTAACCAACTGCCGTGCTGCGACGGTCTGGTACCCGACGTACGGAAAATGTCCGAAATAGGCCTCAAGTGGATATGCAGGCCCGCCTTCACTTAGGGCGGGCTTGCTGGGGGCCTGGGCCCAAAGCGTTTGCATGCCCGAGAAGGACCTTTGCCGGGGCTCAATCCTCGCAACTATATTGTAATGCCAGAAATCTAAGATCAATTTCTGACAAATTGCTTATAGAGTTTAGATGGATGCACTTCGTGCCTAATTAGTTAGTATGGTCTGCATTCTATGAATTGGTGGCAAGTTTAGTTAAAATGACCCTTGGGTTTTGCTATAAATGGCAAGTCTGAAAATTTGGGCCTCCGTCGGGGGTCAAATTGTATGTTTTTTTAATTTCTTTTCTAGGGAGATATCCCGGGCGCCCGGGTCCCGACGTCACGCCCGGTTTGGCGACCGGGTTACCGGCCGGGCATGACCCCCAGGAATGGGCCCGGGCAGCCCCAGCGTAAAAAAAAAAAAAAAAAAACTGAAAAAACAATATGTTGTGTAGAATTGCAATACAAACAACTTTTGGCTGAGGGTCACATCAGAATTCCTCACGGAACTGAAGATAAAAAAGAAAATAACCAAATCGCACTAGGGCACCCCCCTTTAAACCCCTTTAGCCACTTTAAATTTCATTTATACTCCTCTTCCCCCCCCTTGACAACCAACACTCAAAAAACGAAAAGAGCCCGGATTTGGGCTCCTCTTGGAGAGCGCGGAAAACCGAAAACCCCCACCGCCGTTTATTTATTTTTTTAGTATTATTATTATTATTTTTTCATGCCCCGGTATCCCAGGCGTCAGACCCCCCCGAACGTCACGCCCGGGTGACCGGCCGGTCATGGAGATCTTCCTAGATTTTTTTGTTTTTTGTTTTTTTTGTTGCCTATTTTTGTTTTGGTTCAAGGTTCCTGTGTGCCAAATTTGGTATCAATTGGAGCATTGGAATTTCCTCTGCTGAGATTTCTGAAAGTTCTCAATATTTCTGAAATTGGACCAAAACCCTAATTTCAGTTTACCCCCAAACCTTAAACCCCAAAAACATAAAATTCAGTTTATAAAACTTGACCTCCAGAGTCCAAACCCTAATTTCACTTTATAAAACTAAAGGTACATTTATGACTGCGTAGCTTTGGATTAGCGGCCAGGCGTCCTAAGAGTAGGGTTGACAACTTAAAAGTTAAAACTTAAAACTTGTGGGAAATCTTTTGATATAATGCGATTCACCTGCACAGTGGGCTCCATTTTTTTCTTTTTTTTCTTTTCAAGTTTTTACCCAGAGGACATTTTATTTGTTGATTCAACGTGATTGATTTAAATTATTGAGTTTGTAGTTAAAGATCCGTTCTCAGCGGTGGTGTGTAACTGTTGAGGTTGGGAGCAGCCTCATCACTCAGCAAGCTCATACTGAGAAGCAGAGTAGTCAAGAATCAAGATCATATAGATTGCAATGTTCACTATTAAGTTTTTTTTATATATTTTAAATTAGCTCCATTCTATTGGTGGGGAGCTGCACCTGCTGGAAACCGGGTCCAGCGTCCCTCATACATATTAACCCAGTTCATGACTTTAAATACAGTACTCAGAGAGTAGAATCTGCCTCTTCAGCCTAGACTTAGGCCGCCAAATACTTCTTCCAAAGCTAGCATCAGTCCCACCTAGACCATACTCAATATTAAGCAAAAGGAACTTATTTAACCATATTACAATGCATACCAATGCAAATCTACTAAGGCCAAATTTGAGGGCGGGATTAAGTATTTCTAGGATTATCTACCATATCAAGTTTTTTGGAAAAAGGGCTGCCCTTGGCATAAGTAAGACGAAGAGCCCAAAACCAGAAAAAAGAATAAAGAAGACGAAGAGGCACATACAGGGAAATTGAGGTAATATATATGATCTTTTTTGGGATGACGTGCAGTTGCCATCTGTTCCTCCCCCCCCCAAACCCCACCCCCTTATTGTCTTGCCCTTACAGTTAGCGTGTGTCTTCTAAATGGATGATGCTCCTTTTTTTTTCCCCCTTTTGTGATCTCTCTCCTGCAGGATCTAGGGAGGGAAGTTATGCTAGATGCCGAGCATTTTTTTGATGGCTTCAAGTCCAATAGGTGCGTTGTCCATCTGTGCGCGTTCTTTTGCCTCTGATGAGCAGATGAAGGATAGTGGATTCATCTCTCTCCAGTCTACTCTCTCTCCCCTCGCCTCTGCGTCTGTCAATCCATTCCTTGCTGTTGTCCTTTATGCGGAAGCAACTGCACCACTTGCTCGTATGGATACAAAAGGGTGGAAATTATGTCGGCTGGAGCCAGCCTCAGTACCCTTTCCCTCCCCTCCCCACTTGTGTCAAAATGGCTTGTCTAGCTCTCGCTCCTGTCGGTGACCTCCATGGAACCTCATGCACCTCATGTATTTTTATTTTTATTTTTTTGTTTTCCCACCCCTTGCACCTTCCTCGTCAGCGAAATGATGAAAAGATGAGACCTTCCCTCCCCTGCTCTCTTGATTCCCGTTCCCCCTGTTGTGTGGTCAAAATGGGCGAAGCTCTCCCTTTCCCCCTCCCCCTTCCCCGCCTGCCCGGTTTGGGGTATTCTTGTGGAAACTAGGCTACCAGCCGGGCCGCCCGGGTCACCCTGTTTTCCTGGGCGGCCCAGCCGTGCAAGGACCAGGGAAGGTCCCAGCAGAAAAAACAAAAAAAGAAAAACATCTGCAAGGAAAATGAGCACCAAAAAATCCGAAAAAAAAACTAAGTTATGCAGAAAAATAAACTGAACAACTTTTGCCTCAGGGTCACATCGAACTTCTTTACCAAAATTTAAAATAAAAAATAGAATTGAAAAATTGAATTTTTTTTTATTTATTTATTTTTTTGGCCTGGCCGGGCAAGTGGTCCCGGGCCACTCTGGTAGCCTTGTGTGGAAATCAATATTTACAGAATAAATTTCAATAAATATATGGATACTACATGGCCAATTCTTTATGGCAATATATATTTACGGATTTGCTAGCTCCCTGCCATGGTTTTCTCCAGTCAGGTTGAAAAGCAGTGGTCGGGGCCGTCACTACCCGGCCATGCTGTGCCTCTAGCCAGTGGCGTGTCTGGAGTGTGTTTTCTGGCCGTGACAGACCTTCTTTGTTTCGTGAGGGTTTTATTGGCTTATGATGGGTTGTGAACCTGCAACTGTAGAGTTTTCCATCTGGTGTGGGTGAGTGATAGACTGCTTTGATTTGATCGTCATGGGTACCCTTGAGTGTATCACGGGCAAACCGTGGTTAGTTAGTTGCCTAGCTTGAAAGATAGCAGCAGTGACTGTGGTTGGTAGTCATTGATGCTTAACCGCAAGTGGGGCTAAGGTGGATTATCGCTTCACAGAATCATCGGTTAGGGGAGGCCGTTCAGCCTCCTAACGAGTCAGTGGAACTCCGGTGAAACAGTCTATCTCTGTCAAAGCCCGTCGTCCTCTTCTCTCTCCTTGCCCACCATTCAATTCTTTATGGCAATATATTTAAGCCAATATAGGTTTCCAGGATTTAACTGAACTGTTGATCACCTCTCTAAGGCCATGCTCACACTACCATCCTCCCCTGGAACACAGCGCACCGTCTTCATGACCGTATCGGGTGAACAAGATAGCTTGTATGCAGGAATTGATGCAGTAATTGATTGAGTGAGTAATTGATGAAGTAATTGAAAATGAATGGAAGAAACTGTGAGCAAATATGGGAGGGATTTTCAATTTTCAGTGAGAGTTTGGCAATATACTTGCTATGGGACCTTTCGACTGAATCTATGTCATTTTGGCCAGTCCATCAATCACTCCTAATACTCGATCAACTACTGCATCAACTGCATCATCAATAACTCCGTGGACTACTGCAGGGAGGACTCATTCTCACAATCGCTTCGGTTTTTGCCTGACTACCACAGGGAATACTCGTTTGATTGTTTGAGAGCAGCAGCAGAAGCAGGGGCAGACGCTGTTATATTGTGTGATACAAATGGCGGTAGTTTGCCTTGGGAAGTGGAGGTACTTTTCTCCCTCATTGAACTTTGCCTTTGTTGTTTCCCATGTTTGCAAATGATGGCAATGTCACGTCGATCCCCCAACCTCTGCCAGAACACACCCTCTTTCCGCCGCGTCCAACTGAGCGACGGCTCTGGAGCGGCAGTGGAGCCGAGTTAGTGTTATGGTTGGACTTTGTAGTACTGCCTAGCAAGAGTGACAATGCCGATATGAAGATGCAGCTTGCTCATTTGTCCTTCTCGTTAGGGGCTGAATCATTCCGGCTGTGTTTCTGTAAACACTGGTTTGTTATAACTGTTGGAGGGCCGTCCTTCTCTTTGGGATATCCATCAAAGCCGGGACAATATAGAGAAGATCAGCATGGTCCCAACAGAAGGATGACAGACACATAATGAGAAACAATCCGGTTTTTATTGTTTTTTTTCACATTTTTTCCTAACTTATACCTCTTTTTCTTTTTTAATCTGCTGAAAAACGGGTTCGGCATCCCTTACAATCGGGGAGCCCAGTCTTCGCTTTCCTCCATTATGGCCAAGGAACCCTGAGACAGTGGCATGGGCCCTGCGCATTCAAAGAAGACAAACGCAAATCGAGAAATGGTGGATGACACTGAAAAGAAAACGGGGAAAGGTAAAATCAACTCCTGATAAAGAATGAAAGAAATACGCCGAGAGCGTTGCTGCTCAGCTGAATGGTGAGTACAAAAGTAAAATGGGCCTCGCCACACCACTCACGAAATGAAAAAAAATGTGAGTGCACCTTCCTGCAGAAGTTGGGAAGATGCATCTGTCACTATTCATAGTAACGGATGAATTCTTCCACCTTCTTTGGGAAGATGCGCTCACATTTTTCTGGTTTCGTGAGTGGTGTGGTGAGGCCAAATGACAAGCAGCAAGCTGAACAAAACTGTTCAAGTGCCAGTTCAGACGAGCCTAAGTCGACAAAGCTACCTTCTGAGGCTCTCGAGCCTGCAACTGCGCCTTTTCAAGGTGGCCTGCCGCTTTTGCTACTGCCCCAGGACCAAGTTGAAATGCTCTTCTGGCATATACCAGTAAGAGCATGTGAACTGGTGGTTTAAACAGCCAACTGAGCCAAGACAAACTTGAATGAAGTGTGCACATGTAACTAACTGTTAAACCACTAGTACGTTTCCCAGCCATCTTTTCAAAGTTGCGGCTTGCATGCTGCCACAACATTCGGGGCTCGGCCGCCAGAGCAAAATCGCTGGCAGCACCAGGCATAAGGAGGCCCGTGCCGGTGCGGTTCTGTTGGTGCGCAGCGCGTTCCAGACCCGGGAAAAAGTGCCTCAGAAGTACTGGTGGTTTAGTAAACAGTTCATGAATTTGAATTCCCTCACCTTGATTAGTATGTTCTTGCATTAGCCAAAGCCGGGTAATGGCCCTGGTACTGCATGGATATGGTATGGGATGCTGGGCCCGGTTCCTAGCACGTGCTTCTCCACACGAATAGACCAGCCTTGTGTTAAAATAATAATAATAATAATAATAATAAATAAATAAAATCATAGAAACTATAGGTTTAGGTGCTACCCTTACAAAAGGAACTTGTGTTGTGATCCTGGCCAATTTCGAGATACACATCCATCAGATAGTACAATGCCGTCCAATTGCAGAAAGAAATGAATGAACTTGAGAGGAGAGAGAGGATTAGGGGAAGAAGAAGAAGTAAGAAAGAAGAAGAAGATGATGTATACCAGCATAGACAAATGACAAGGCTCTTCTTCTTCGCCCAACAATCTTCTCCTCCTTATCTCCCCCTTCTCTTATTCACACAAGAAATAATAATACAATGTTGAATGGCTGATCCAGAATCAATGTCCGAGTCCCTCTTCTACTGCAGGTATCAGTTGAGGTCCACCATAGCCATGGCCGCCTCCCCCACTCTTCACTCTCATAGGTCGAGGCTATGGCGGACTACTAGGCCTTGCCCGGATGTCCAAAGGACAACCCAAAGCAGCTATGGCTGCTCTAGCTCAGGCCGCCATGCCCAACCCTGCCTTGAAGCTTCTTGGTGTGGCTCTCCCCAGTTGGGGACTCCCTGCTGCAGCGCCTACCAAGGTGATGAAGATGGCTGCCACCATAGCCAGGTAAGTACCCCTGGCGCTCCTCCCCCTTCCTTCCTTCTTCCTCCCTCGTGTCCTTCTCCTTCCTCCCCAGCGCAGCGCTGCTCCAGCATAGCGCTGCTCCAACCAGCGCTCCACCAGTGTGTCGCCAAACTTGCACACCGAAAAAGAGGCCAGACTCTCCGCCCGGCCGGAAGATATAGCGGCCTGCTTTGCCTCTTGGGCGGTGACTTCCAGGCCGCTCAGCCTTCCAAGCAACCGGTACCTCCTCCCTTTCAGAGGGAAACATCATTGCAGACTCTGATATTGCCCGTACAGGCCCTAGACCCAGACTGGTTGGACAGGTATCAACCTAGACCTAACCTACAACTACTGGGCCTCTAAAAATGCCAGGTTGGGTGGTTGTCGTACCGTTCATAGAAGTGTGGTTCGCCACCAGAGTCTGTGAGGTTGATGCAGGTTGGAAATAGCCCAATCTGCTCCGGGTCGTCTCTGAGTAATCAGGGTGTCCTCTATGGTAGCAGTCAGGGGTCTGTAGCTAGATCCTTGGCACATTGCGGGTTTGGGAGCCTWGGTCTAGTTAGGCTAGGTCTAGGTAACCAGCTATAGGGGCTCGACTTACGACAGTTAAAAGTAACACAGTTAAAGTGTAGTCTCCATGGTTAGGTGTCCCCGAAAATGTGGATCCTCTAAGTCATCCCCCCACTGGTTGAACATGCAAATCAGACACTTCCCGAGGCATAGAGCCCAGCCGCTACTACCACATGGA